CTGAGTAGGTATCTCTGTCAGTTGCGTGACTATTACTGCTGCTGATTTGATATCTCTGTCAGTTAGAGTGACTATTAAGTTTGATTAGAGGTCCAGGAATCTAATAGTGGGCTGGCTGAAACATTGCATTTATACTCTCAGAACACACTTGTTCACTATTTTGGTTTAATTCGTTATTTGAATTCTTTTCATAGAAGTTACATAAGGTATGGGTTTCTATTCAGTAATCATTTATTAAAGCTCTAGCCATGTCAAGTCATGCCATTAAATATTTTCAATTCACAATTTAGTTTTTGGCAGCTAGTGGACTGGGGATCCTAAATAAACACTTTATTCCAAACCAGAGTTTACTTTATTATTATTATGATAAATGGTTGTATATAAGATATCCTTTTTGTGCTCTATAAAAACATCCTGAGATCTTTAGAATGAATACAGTAATATTATATATTGTTAGTCTAGTATTGTCTCTATCAAGGTCAGCCAATAATCATGGCAGTGTTAGCGTTATCTGTTGAATATAAAGTCAATGGGGTGCACATTCTACCCTGCATGCTTTGTTGTCAACGCAGTATTGTTGTCAATTTCTTTTTAACTCTGAAGCAACTTTGAACCACAACCAAAAATATTATGTACAAAGGTGTTCGATAAATTAAAAGCCATTCTGTCTAAACAATTTCATAAGGCCTCAGTTAATTTGCAATTTGTGAAGAAAACCGAGTTTGAGTTGTGTTTTTAAAGAATTGGTGTAACTCGTGTGTCGTCCTACGTCATTGTATTGATGTTATCACGAGAGTTCACGATGGACTATGAATGTATTGTGAGTGTTGATGGGTCCCTATTATAGTGAAGTATTAGGTGTGACGGTGGTATCATACCTATGTCCCAACACTCCAACACCAACACCTACCAGTGACAAAATACTGGTGTTCAGAAATGAGCTGGATTTTACACTCGAACGGGATTGTTTAATGTTCAACTGTGGAATATATTTCATTAATGAAGTTTGGAATATAAAATCCGACTTTGGGATTTATTATGAGGTGGGGAACATTTCATCATACACAATCCCCAAGACAGCAGCACACATATGTAAGTTACATAGTAGATGGAACAATATGTCACTGTTATGGAAACAGAACTGTTTCGTGTGACATAATAATGTGAAGCTGTGACAGATGTTGTGTATTACTAGTATGATTATATTTTACAGCTGGTGGACTTTGAGAAACTTCTGTCCCACCATGATGAGCGACTAGCAGAAAAGTTAAACAATGAGTACCTGCGGGAGGAGTGGGACTTTGGGCGCGAAAATCTTGGAAGTCGACACATGTTTAAGGATCCCCCAGTGCGGTGTGCTGAGGATCGCATCAACATGGTGAGCCATTACGTTACATCACAATTTTTTTTTCCTAGAAGTGATTTCTTTTTTTATCAATGTAGATTAATATATTTCACTTTTTCCAGAAAATATTCTTCACTTACAATCCATGTAAGATAACGCTTGTTAAAAAGTACTTTGCTTGTTTTAATAATTGTGTGATGAGGATTGTTAGTTCACCTGACACAACAAACACTGCTTGTTTTAATAATTGTGTGATGAGGATTGTTAGTTCACCTGACACAACAAACACTGCTTGTTTTAATAATTGTGTGATGAGGATTGTTAGTTCACCTGACACAACAAACACTGCTTATTCCAGTGAGTGATACAGGACCTCTTTTAGTATTATAGTATTACTGGCAATAAATGTGTAGTTTGGTGTAAAGATGGGATCCTGCTTATTTTCTGTACTTTTATATGGCCGTCAACCACTGGGTGTACATTATGATTTTCCCTGCAGCATTCGTCCTTCCTTTAACTTGTCCTTGTCATTGCTCATCGCCGTCCTGCATCTTGATGAAACTTGACACACATATTCTATACAAGTAAAGCTTGAACAAGTTCACATTTCAGATTTCTTTGACCCCATCTCAGGTATGGACTGTTTTCCTGGTCTCCTAGTTCTAGCCCACCATCATCAGATGGAGGTGTTCAAATTGTCTTTTGTCCAGGGTTGGTCCATCCAGCGATCCTCCCTTCTTAAACAATTGTTGTTATTGCTGTTTCTAAAGAAGAACTGGACTGAACTTCTGCCATTACCTAAGACCGACAAAATGAACAGTGAAAAACCTATACTCCCCAATCTTGCTGTATGAATTGTTATTATTTCATGTGTTCATGTAACTTTTATCAGACATGCTCTAATATGTAAACAGTGAGTTAAACCTATGACTCAGTCCATCTGTTGATGAAATATTTCTGAAAATCAGCAGGAATCCATCTTGGAGAATTCAATTTTCTCTATGGGAAGGAAATCTGTATTACACTTTTTCTTCTTTGTGAATTTATTGGGAAGTAGCTGGATTGATGCCTCTGTGTGTGTTTTCTCCTCAAGCTTCCAGACAGCAGTCTGTCGGACCTCTACCATGCATGGACATATCGGGTAATAGTGTAGTATTATCACATAGAAGACTGTAGGCCTATCAGGAGGCTAGATCGGGTAATAGTGTAGTATTATCACATAGAAGACTGTAGGCCTATCAGGAGGCTAGATCGGGTAATAGTGTAGTATTATCACATAGAAGACTGTAGGCCTATCAGGAGGCTAGATCGGGTAATAGTGTAGTATTATCACATAGAAGACTGTAGGCCTATCAGGAGGCTAGATCGGGTAATAGTGTAGTATTATCACATAGAAGACTGTAGGCCTATCAGGAGGCTAGATCAGGTAATAGTGTAGTATTATCACATAGAAGACTGTAGGCCTATCAGGAGGCTAGAAAATTACAAAGGCCATCAAGGTGTTTGAGTAGTAGGCCCACAGTACCCACAATAGGCCTGTCAGGGGGCTATAGTATTGTAGTAGGCCTGTCGGGGTGCTATACTAAATACAGTAGCAGGCCTGTCAGGGGGCTATACTAAGTACTATAGCAGGCCTGTCAGGGGGCTATAGTACTAAAGCAGGCCTGTCAGGGGGCTATAGTGCTGTAGCAGGCCTGTCAGGGGGCTATACTAAGTACTATAGCAGGCCTGTCAGGGGGCTATAGTACTATAGAAGGCCTGTCAGGGGGCTATACTAAGTACTATAGCAGGCCTGTCAGGGGGCTATAGTGCTGTAGCAGGCCTGTCAGGGGGCTATACTAAGTACTATAGCAGGCCTGTCAGGGGGCTATAGTACTATAGAAGGCCTGTCAGGGGGCTATACTAAGTACTATAGCAGGCCTGTCAGGGGGCTATAGTGCTGTAGCAGGCCTGTCAGGGGGCTATACTAAGTACTATAGCAGGCCTGTCAGGGGGCTATAGTACTATAGAAGGCCTGTCAGGGGGCTATACTAAGTACTATAGCAGGCCTGTCAGGGGGCTATAGTGCTGTAGCAGGCCTGTCAGGGGGCTATACTAAGTACTATAGCAGGCCTGTCAGGGGGCTATAGTACTATAGAAGGCCTGTCAGGGGGCTATACTAAGTACTGTAGCAGGCCTGTCAGGGGGCTATAGTACTGTAGCAGGCCTGTCAGGGGGCTATACTAAGTACTATAGCAGGCCTGTCAGGGGGCTATAGTGCTGTAGTAGGCCTGTCAGGGGGCTATATTAAATACAGTAGCAGGCCTGTCAGGGGGCTATACTAAGTACTGTAGCAGGCCTGTCAGGGGGCTATAGTACTATAGTAGGCCTGTCAGGGGGCTATACTAAGTACTATAGCAGGCCTGTCAGGGGGCTATAGTACTGTAGCAGGCCTGTCAGGGGGCTATACTAAGTACTATAGCAGGCCTGTCAGGGGGCTATAGTGCTGTAGTAGGCCTGTCAGGGGGCTATATTAAATACAGTAGCAGGCCTGTCAGGGGGCTATACTAAGTACTGTAGCAGGCCTGTCAGGGGGCTATACTAAGTACAGTAACAGGCCTGTCAGGGGGCTATAGTACTATAGCAGGCCTGTCAGGGGACTATAGTACTACTGTAGTAGGCCTGTCGGGGGGCTATACTAAATACAATAGCAGGCCTGTCTGGGGGCTATACTAAGTACTATAGCAGGCCTGTCAGGGGGCTATACTAAGTACTGTAGCAAGCCTGTCAAGGGGCTATAGTACTATAGTAGGCCTGTCAGGGGGCTATACTAAATACAGTAGCAGGCCTGTCAGGGGGCTATACTAAGTACTGTAGCAGGCCTGTCAGGGGGCTTTACTAAGTACAGTAACAGGCCTGTCAGGGGGCTATAGTACTGTAGCAGGCCTGTCAGGGGGTTATCATAAGTACTGTAGCAGCCCCTGTAGTACTGTACAGGGGGTTATTTAGTACTTAAGTACTGTCAGCCCCTGTAGTACTGTACAGGGGGCTATTTAGTACTTAAGTACTGTCAGTCCCTGTAGTACTGTACAGGGGGCTATTTAGTACTTAAGTACTGCCAGTCCCTGTAGTACTGTACAGGGGGCTATTTAGTACTTAAGTACTGTCAGCCCCTGTAGTACTGTACATGGGGCTATTAAGTACTTAAGTACTGTCAGTCCCTGTAGTACTGTGCAGGGGGCTATTTAGTACTTAAGTGCTGTCATCCTTGTAGTACTGTACAGGGGGCTATTTATTACTTAAGTACTGTCAGCCCCTGTAGTACTGCACAGGGGGCTATTTAGTACTTAAGTACTGTCAGCCCCTGTAGTACTGTACAGGGGGCTATTTAGTACTTAAGTACTGTCAGCCCATGTAGTACTGTACATGGGGCTATTAAGTACTTAAGTACTGTCAGTCCCTGTAGTACTGTGCAGGGGGCTATTTAGTACTTAAGTGCTGTCGTCCTTGTAGTACTGTACAGGGGGCTATTTATTACTTAAGTACTGTCAGCCCCTGCAGTACTGCACAGGGGGCTATTTAGTACTTAAGTACTGTCAGTCCCTGTAGTACTGTGCAGGGGGCTATTTAGTACTTAAGTGCTATCATCCTTGTAGTACTGTACAGGGGGCTATTTATTACTTAAGTACTGTCAGCCCCTGTAGTACTGTACATGGGGCTATTAAGTACTTAAGTACTGTCAGTCCCTGTAGTACTGTGCAGGGGGCTATTTAGTACTTAAGTGCTGTCATCCTTGTAGTACTGTACAGGGCGCTATTTATTACTTAAGTACTGTCAGCCCCTGTAGTACTGTACATGGGGCTATTAAGTACTTAAGTACTGTCAGTCCCTGTAGTACTGTGCAGGGGGCTATTTAGTACTTAAGTGCTATCATCCTTGTAGTACTGTACAGGGGGCTATTTATTACTTAAGTACTGTCAGCCCCTGCAGTACTGCACAGGGGGCTATTTAGTACTTAAGTACTGTCAGCCCATGTAGTACTGTACATGGGGCTATTAAGTACTTAAGTACTGTCAGTCCCTGTAGTACTGTACAGGGGGCTATAGTACTGTAGCTGGCCTGTCAGTCCCTGTAGTACTGTACAGGGGGCTAGTTAGTACTTAGGTACTGTCAGCCCCTGTAGTACTGTACAGGGGGCTATAGTACTGTAGCTGGCCTGTCAGTCCCTGTAGTACTGTACAGGGGGCTATAGTTCTGTAGCAGGCCTGTCAGCCCCTGTAGTACTGTACAGGCGGCTATAGTACTGTAGCAGGCCTGTCAGCCCCTGTAGTACTGTACCGAGGGATATAGTACTTTAGCAGGCCTGTCAGCCCCTGTAGTACTGTACAGGCGGCTATAGTACTGTAGCAGGCCTGTCAGCCCCTGTGGTACTGTACAGGGGGCTATAGTACTGTAGCAGGCCTGTCAGTCCCTGTAGTATTGTACAGGGGGCTATAGTACTGTAGCAGGCCTGTCAGCCCCTGTAGTACTGTAGAGGGGGCTATAGTACTGTAGCAGGCCTGTCAGCCCCTGTAGTACTGTACAGGGGGCTAGAGTAGTAGGCACGTTTAATGCATGGAGGGTGTGTACTTAATTTCATACACTTTTGACACATATATACATATTTTCCCACAATAAACCTTCAAGAATATCATATATTTTTGAGAAAATTATGAGGTAATTTGAAACTGTATTCAATTTAGACAATTTCCTAGCCACCAAATAGCTAACGATCATGAAGCATGGACTTGAAACAATAGAGTTTAAAAAAACACTGACATTTATCACCTTTGTTTTTTTAAAGGACATGGATAGTTGTTTGGTGGTGGAGGGATTTTATGGTTCCATCAAAATGGTCATCAATAAATGAAGAAAAAAGAAGAGATTTTTTTTTTTTTTTAGTTTTAATGTAAAAATCATGTACCCATACTCTAGAGTAGCAAGCTCATCCTAGGACCAAGAGTAGCTTAGTAATAATAGTAATCTATGCGAGGTTTCACTTGTAGAGGTATAGACTTATATCCAGTATATAAAATTTGACCTGCAGCTGGTTGGGATAAAACCCTATCAAGTTTGTTAAGATAGATTACCTAAACCAACTTCCGAAGTCTTGCAAGAAAAACAATACTGTATTGTAATAATGATATGAAGGTAAAGAGTACAATGTAATGACAATGAGTGTGTAGCTTGTTGGTGTGAAAGGATATCACGTTAGTGAGTACATTACATGTGATATTTAGCCTGTAGTATTGGCTTGCTTGCTATTTAATAATCTTTGTTTGAATAAATTTGACATTGACATTGCAGCTTTGAAGGTAATTGATGTGAAATGTGTTAATTTGTTACCAGCATTATAAAGTAACAGGTGAACGATACCAGCCCATTAGGACTCTTGTTTGACATAAACATCACCTTTACACTATTCGTTGTTCTCTATGGTTCACAATGAACACATTAAACGGTTTATGCTAGGGGTCAAAAATTAAGTAAAGCTTGGGTCAAAGTTCAGAAGAGTTTACATTTTTAGTTACAAAAAAAGTTTGAAATGGATAAAGTTTGTGAAGGACATACAAGGTATTTTGAAACATAAAGTTAATAGATTTTACAACTAATTTCCTGAATGTGATACTGTAAGGAAATTTTCAGTCTCTTAAAACAGCTTTTGATATCAAATATTCTTACTTTATAAATGAATTGATATTTTTCTTAATTTTTACACAAAAGATGCTGTTAAAAAAATGGATACTTCATTGTATGAATATAATTTATGAAGTAGGAAATGAGATACTACAGGTGTACATGTAGACTTCTCTATCAAACAGACAAGACGACAAAAGCGACTGTACCGCCACCTAAAGGCAGAGGTGAATCAATCACAGCGAGGGGTTTACCGCGCCAAGGCAGGCTACATACGGGAGCGCCCTCTCACCGCCCCTGACTTGTCAATGTACACCTCAAAGGATGTTCCACAACTACCCTCCAATTTCTCTGCTCAGACTGCCTATCAGATCATCCAGGACAAAGTCAAGTCAGCAAGGCCAGGTAATTATGTCATATCATCACTAGGTAAATATATCATATCATCACCAGGTAAATATATCATAGCATCACCAGGTAATTATGTCATATCAACACCAGGTAAATATATCATAGCATCACCAGGTAAATATATCATATCATCACCAGGTAATTATATCATATCATCACCAGGTAAATATATCATAGCATCACCAGGTAGATACATCATAGCATCACCAGGTAAATATGTCATAGCATCACCAGGTAAATATATCATAGCATCACCAGGTAAATATATCATAACATCACCAGGTAAATATATCATAGCATCACCAGGTAAATATTTCATAGCATCACCAGGTAATTATATCATAGCATTACCAGGTAAATATATCATAGCATCACTTGGTAAATATATCATATCATCATCAGGTAATTACAACATAATATCACCAGGTAATTACAACATTATATCACCAGGTAATTACAACATAACATCACCAAATAATTACATTATAACATTACCAGGTAATTACATTATATATATATAATATATACCACCAGGGTGTTAAGTGTATATCAATAACTATTAATCTAAGTTGCTTAGTTCTGTCATGCTGCCACAAATTATACCTATACACTGGAAACGTTTCCCTGTGTGACATGTTTTTGATAAATGATTCTTAGAATAAAAGGCATACATTGCAGAACATGAATGAAATAACAACAGAAGTCATTGACAGTGTTTTGAGTTTTAAAATTCAATATGGTCAGATCTAGACCAGGATCCGAACTGGTGTTTTAACTGCAGTTGGAAAGGGATACTAGCGATAGCCGTAATGAAAACTTCGGGATTAGTTTGAAAATTCTTATAGGCTCGCAAGTCATCATCTGGAATTATTCTAATACAGTGTATTTTGCACTGAGACAGGATTTCTTGAATTTCTCTGTCAGACAGTTGTATACTTACTAAACGTTATGTAATCTGTAAGATATTTCAAAATGTCAAATATTTTTCCTTTGTTGACCTTATTTTGAAATAAATTATATTTTTAAAAAATAAACCTGTCCCTCAAAAATATTTTTGATCAAGGTTTTATATTACATGAATCTTTTTCACATTTCATTATGAAAAACATATCCTGGAAATTAAACCATAGTGTTATAGTCACCAATCTTTTATGTAATTATAAATTTTGACTTGGAGAAAATTTTGCATTTTGACTGGAAACTATTCAGTATTGAATATTATTTTTTCTTTTTGCAATGGCAGTGATCGATATGGGTGACTGCTAATGAAGTTATAGATTTCATAGCTTTAACAGTTTTTAGCTCACCTGGTCCGAAGGACCAAGGTGAGCTTATGCCATACCGCAGCGTCCATCGTCCGTTGTCCGTGTCGTCCGTCGTCCGTCGTCTTTCAACTTTACACTACTAGTCATGAACCACTGAGCGAATTTTAACAAAATTTGGTGTGGAGCATCCTTGGGTGAAGAAAATCCAATTTTGTATAAATGGTGGGTCTGGCTCACCAGGGGCCTGAGGGGCGGGGCCCAATAGGGGAAACATAGCAAATTATTCTTTAAAATCCTTCTTCTTCTGTAGGAATGAAAGGATTTGGTCCATATTTGGTCAGAAGCATCCTTGGGCAAAGGGGAACAAAGTTTGTATAAATGGTGGGTCTGGCCCCCCTGGGGGCTGAGGGGTGGGGCCCAATAGGGGAAATATAGCAAATTCTTTAAAATCCTTCTTCTCCTGTAGGAATGGAAGGATTTGTTCCATATTTGGTGTGGAGCATCCTTGGGTAGGCAGGAACCAATTTTGTATGAACCATGGGTCTGGCTCACCAGAGGCCTGAGGGGCGGGGCCCAATAGGGGAAACATAGCAAATTATTCTTTAAAATCCTTCTTCTTCTGTAGGAATGAAAGGATTTGGTCCATATTTGGTCAGAAGCATCCTTGGGCAAAGGGGAACAAAGTTTGTATAAATGGTGGGTCTGGCCCCCCTGGGGGCTGAGGGGTGGGGCCCAATAGGGGAAATATAGCAAATTCTTTAAAATCCTTCTTCTCCTGTAGGAATGGAAGGATTTGTTCCATATTTGGTGTGGAGCATCCTTGGGTAGGCAGGAACCAATTTTGTATGAACCATGGGTCTGGCTCACCAGAGGCCTGAGGGGCGGGGCCCAATAGGGGAAACATAGCAAATTATTCTTTAAAATCCTTCTTCTTCTGTAGGAATGAAAGGATTTGGTCCATATTTGGTCAGAAGCATCCTTGGG